GGGGTGGGGTGGGGGGGCGCTGCCTTTTCTCGGTTTATAGCCCGCTGCTCCAGCTCACAGACCTTAAGATGTAAATTTGTCTGTACACATGAGTGACATGTTAGCGGCCGGAGCAGGTGAAATATGAGCCCGTGCGTAGAGCAGGTGTGTGTCCAGGTAGACGAGCTCCAGTTTTGCCGTGGAGCAGAGTTACAGTAGCTGTTGTGTTGGACTGGTGTTCGCTGGAAGCCATGTGGAGCCCCAACTCGACTTGTGCGTCCATATGAAAGCAGCTCTTATCTTGAATGCATATTCCAGGCCCTCTCCTCAAAACTCAATTACGGCCTGAATAAAGCCGGTAATGTCCCCGCTGCAGTGAAATATTGATTCCTAATCCCTGGCAGTCATTACTATGCCAGAAAATAATAGACCACAGAATTGGATTTTGATTTAACACACGACGTGTTTATTCTAATGCTAGAGACTTAATATTCCGTTCCGTTTGAGCCACATATAGTGAACAGTCCGTGGTTAGGTTCTCACGCCACACTTTTTATATTGTTATGGAAGATTTTTTATAAAAAGGCGAGGTGATGGGACATCTTTCCGGTCCTCCTCCCCGGCTCTAATACACAAGGTCAGCTCCATGTAATTGCCTTGCTCAATGATCCTTAGGAGGAAGAAATTAAAAGTTGAGCACAATAATGACTGAAACAATGAGACATGATTAGCCAATCAGAGAGCTGAACCCATTATGGAAGCCTTTTGATCTACTTCCTGCTTCCGCCTGGAGGCTTTATGACTTTATTTTAAAACATTTAATATATTAACTTTATTAAACATCACAGCAGCCTATTCACCTTGGGAAATATTAGCATTTTAACTATGGTAGAATAAAACCATAAAACACTGCCAACACACACTGCTACAGGTAGAATGGGCAGAGGAAAAGTGGGAGGTAAAATCAGCCAAGTGAATATGGAAGAGTGTTAAATATTATTATTTTATCTGCCTATGACGTCCAAGCGGTCAGGCAGCCTGTAAACCATCCTGGACCCCACTGAGAGGAAATAAATCCCAGGTTTGCCGTGTCAAATTAAAGACATAACAACTTAACACCCCAAAGTAATGTAGTTTAAACAGCAGACTAACCCCAGTGCCACCACAGTGAAATGTTGATGTGTGGTTTGCCTTCTGGCCTTTGTCCATTGTGCCATATAGACAGACACTGAAGTAGTAAATGTACTGTAGTTTACTGCTTTCTCCAGAAGTTTTGAAGCAATAAATAATAATAAAAAGAAGAAATGCAAGAATAATGTCAGTAATAATGTAAGAATAATTATAAACGAATAATATAAAACTAAGGTAATAACAATACAAAATGTGAAAATATTTAAAATAATAGTAAAGGCAGTACGTTGTAATGTATATACAAGTCATACTGGTAAAATGTCACTAACAACTATGTATGCGTGGAGGTGGGTCCTCACTTAGTAGCCCCTTCTACCTTATGTAGTTTTTGTTATGAGGACGTTTCCTCTTGATAATATAGCAGCATCATTTTGCACACTCATATGTGCACTCACACACACACACACACACCTCTCTCTCGACTTATTACGGCCTGGACCCCGTCCGCTCCGGGCCCCGGTACCGCTCTGTCCCGGTTCATCCCTTTATTCTTCCTTTCCCATAGGCTGTAGCTACGTGTCCGGAATAAAATGCAGTTGCGGTGTACAATGAAAAAGATTTGGACAAACCGTTTTAAAGGGGCTGAATGAGACTCATGCCAAAATATTAACTTCACGCCACAGGCCGGTCAACATCCAATCTGAGGTGATGTTCTCAGCCCGTTAAAGTTTTCCATAGGTAAGAGTTTGGACAGATGACGGGGTTTAACTGGATTACCGGATGTGGTCCCGTAAAAGTTCAAACTTCTTCTCTTTTCCTTCTTCTCTCCGTCTCTTCCCCCTTCATCCTCCGCATCCACCGCGGCACCACAGCGTCTCCGGTGATCTAATGTCTGTCTGCCGTTGTCCCGGGTTGGCACACACACATAAACCGCGCTGGTCGTCCCGACCTCCAGCCTCGCGTGCTCTGTCTGGTCACCGGTGGGTGCGCGCTCTGGAAGCCTGACAGGAGTTGAAGGCGGGACGGACGCTGATCTATCTCCCTAATAGTTAAAACTAGCTCGCCCCCTCTCTCTCTCCCCCCATTAGTTAAGTGAAGCGCACCCCCCCACCCCCACCCCACCCCGCGCGCTCTCTTTCAGCCCGCACAGCTTCAACTCCTTTTTTGGTTTTTAGTCTCTATCATATAGCCTACTCACATATGCCTATGCGCGTGTGTACGTACGTGCCCGTCTCCCTCCTTATTTGTGTATTCCTATTCAATTCTACGAATTGTAATTGTCTACAAATTAATCCCACTTCCACTAATAGTCTATTATCTCGGGGCTACGCGCGCGGAGCGGTGCGGTCCGGGCCAGCACGAGGACAAACAGAGAGAGAGAGAGAGAGAGAGAGGGAGGGAGGGAGAGAGAGGCAGAGTCCAGGTAGACGAGCTCCAGTTTTGCCGTGGAGCAGAGTTACAGTAGCTGTTGTGTTGGACTGGTGTTCGCTGGAAGCCATGTGGAGCCCCAACTCGACTTGTGCGTCCATATGAAAGCAGCTCTTATCTTGAATGCATATTCCAGGCCCTCTCCTCAAAACTCAATTACGGCCTGAATAAAGCCGGTAATGTCCCCGCTGCAGTGAAATATTGATTCCTAATCCCTGGCAGTCATTACTATGCCAGAAAATAATAGACCACAGAATTGGATTTTGATTTAACACACGACGTGTTTATTCTAATGCTAGAGACTTAATATTCCGTTCCGTTTGAGCCACATATAGTGAACAGTCCGTGGTTAGGTTCTCACGCCACACTTTTTATATTGTTATGGAAGATTTTTTATAAAAAGGCGAGGTGATGGGACATCTTTCCGGTCCTCCTCCCCGGCTCTAATACACAAGGTCAGCTCCATGTAATTGCCTTGCTCAATGATCCTTAGGAGGAAGAAATTAAAAGTTGAGCACAATAATGACTGAAACAATGAGACATGATTAGCCAATCAGAGAGCTGAACCCATTATGGAAGCCTTTTGATCTACTTCCTGCTTCCGCCTGGAGGCTTTATGACTTTATTTTAAAACATTTAATATATTAACTTTATTAAACATCACAGCAGCCTATTCACCTTGGGAAATATTAGCATTTTAACTATGGTAGAATAAAACCATAAAACACTGCCAACACACACTGCTACAGGTAGAATGGGCAGAGGAAAAGTGGGAGGTAAAATCAGCCAAGTGAATATGGAAGAGTGTTAAATATTATTATTTTATCTGCCTATGACGTCCAAGCGGTCAGGCAGCCTCTAAACCATCCTGGACCCCACTGAGAGGAAATAAATCCCAGGTTTGCCGTGTCAAATTAAAGACATAACAACTTAACACCCCAAAGTAATGTAGTTTAAACAGCAGACTAACCCCAGTGCCACCACAGTGAAATGTTGATGTGTGGTTTGCCTTCTGGCCTTTGTCCATTGTGCCATATAGACAGACACTGAAGTAGTAAATGTACTGTAGTTTACTGCTTTCTCCAGAAGTTTTGAAGCAATAAATAATAATAAAAAGAAGAAATGCAAGAATAATGTCAGTAATAATGTAAGAATAATTATAAATGAATAATATAAAACTAAGGTAATAACAATACAAAATGTGAAAATATTTAAAATAATAGTAAAGGCAGTACGTTGTAATGTATATACAAGTCATACTGGTAAAATGTCACTAACAACTATGTATGCGTGGAGGTGGGTCCTCACTTAGTAGCCCCTTCTACCTTATGTAGTTTTTGTTATGAGGACGTTTCCTCTTGATAATATAGCAGCATCATTTTGCACACTCATATGTGCACTCACACACACACACACACACACACACACACCGTGTTTTCATTCCTTGTGGGGTCTTTACATTGACTTACATTCATTTCCTGTAGACTTATCTTAACCTTAACCATAACCACTACGTGCTAACCCACCTAACCTTGACCCTAACCTCACCCTAACCTTAAACTATG